AAGGCCACGTCAACGTTTCTTTCTGAAAAAGAAGAAAAAGAAACTTATTCAGTGGCATTATGGTGGTTTTTATTCCATTGCACAACCATGCAGTGACAATTGGCGGCTTTGGCCGATATGGATGCAGTGAAACAAATCTACGTGACGATAAACAATATTAATCTGCATTCAGTAGAATTCACATCTGGTGTTACGATGAAAATGCTGACAAAATTATACAAATAAAGCACTCATTTTAAATGAATACCCAATTTGAACATAAAACAAGAACATGATACGATGCCGCACACAACGAAGTTATATGGAGAAATTGACTTCAAGCTTTATTTTTTCCCCAAATATTTGTAATCCATCCAATACATACTTGGGTGTTTTTTTGTTAATGCGAAGACAATATTCCTGTATTTCTTAATGTGCTCCATTGAATGACTAGCTAGCAGACTGTACTCACAAACTAATGTCAGAAAGGACAGCAACCATGTAATTTCACCATAAATCAAATTCATGTAATGTAAATAATACTTATCCATGTCTGTACAACTGGAGTGTCCTACATAGAGAGGAACAAATATATATTATTATTTTTATAAAAAATTCAGTCCCTCATGTTTGTGCAATAGGCGTCATGTAAAGCTTCGCTGAATATTTTCAATGTGTACCCTATCATACCCACACACAAAATCGAAGACGATTTTGCAGTATTCAAGTACTGAACCAACCATGACTTTGTATAAGAGGACTTTAGCCCCAATTGTGTACACTTTTCGGTGTAACAAGACTGTGCGTCTTCGGCACTTAGAAACAACTGATTTGGCGTACTGACTGGATGTTAAGCTTTGTGAGTAGGTAACGCCAAGGTCTTTTATGGAATTGAGGGTGTGGAGAAAAGAGTCACCTAGATGTAACCTGAAATTGGGGTCTGAGTGAAGTGTAGGACACCGCGTTTATCAGAACTGAATAGCAGTTGCCGGTCCTTGCCTCAGTTATGTGACCTTTCCGGATCATATTGAATATGTATGAATCCCTCGTTCAGAGCAGAATAGGGAAAGCCGTATGCAATCCTTTGTCGTCTACAGAGAAGTATGCGGTACCCTGCTTGATTGCAGCATAGATATGGTCAATATTATTTACGGAAAGCAGTGGCACTATTGAATTACCCTGAATCACCCCACTTCATATGCGTCTGGGTGACGAGTAATTATTTGCGAATTTACAACTTGGGAACAGTCTTCCAAGAAAGAATTAAGCCAGCATAACAGGGGGAACCCGCACAACTTTAGCTTAAGAATTAGTCTCTTGTGTGGGACTTTATCAAAGGCTTTTTGAAGTCGAAGAAGGCAGTTGTGACAAACAAACCATGATCATCAAAGTAACCAGGTAGGCAGGCGGAGCACGATCGACTTTTCAAGAAGCCGTGTTGTGCTGGATTAAGCACTTTGCCTAATGACTTTTTCCATAACCCTGGAAACTAATGACGTAGTATGGATGGGTCGGTAGTTTTCGATACTAGAAGTTGGTCCTAGCTTGTGTCAAGGGGTTGTAAACGGCAGCTTCCAGCTCTCTGGGCAACTGCCATTATTTAAGGACAGATTGAAAACCTTTACGAGGATAATGGGAGGATAGATGGAATTCCATCAGAGCCAGCATTATATGAAATCCGGAGAGAAGCTATAGCGGATGAAATCTTTTGTGGGGTGAACGTTGTATCACCCAAGAAGTGACTTGGTGGTGTCGGGACATCAAGACTACCTGCTGTTTCTTCGTTAGTAGAGTAGCTAGCAGAGCGGAGACTGGATGACTCGCATATCTTCTGCTGGTCTTCGTATAGTTTCTCCCCATCTAGTAATAAGTTAGAGCTACTTATTCCGCCGTTACTAATTTCTGATCTCATAAGTTTTACTGACACCTCTGTATTATCAGGTGGCGAGTGGAGGATGAGTTCTAGTTTGATGAACTCATAAAATTGATTAGATTTGTATGAATCATAAGTCTGCCTGAGTGCAATAAGCGATTAAAAGTCACTACATCTGTAGAATTGCCTAGCATGCTTACGCAGTCGGTTTCGAATCTTTACAGGGATGAAGTCGGGCTGTTTAGGCCTCGTTTTCACAAGTCTTGCTGGAGCGATGAAGTCATGTGCAAATCCTAGGTTCTCATGGAGTAAGTTGTTTGTCTCTGTAGCCGAGCTGCATGTAAAGTATGGTCCCCAGTCTAGTGTGCGTAGGTATGGTTTCAGGTCATCCCACTGAGCGTGTCTGTAACTCCTGAGTAATACTTTGTTGGCGCTTATTGCTGAACTCATGCTGGATTGAATGTACAGAATACTACTCTGTGGTCGCTGCCAGGAAACTCTTTACCTACTTGAAGGGTAGTATGGATGATACCATTCGTAAAACCTAGACCTAAAATCTTATACAGCCTGGTAGGATGCTTTGCGTGTTGTTGCCAGTCTTTTGTTTCTATTATGTTCGAAAATTCATTATACTGTTTTGGTGAGCGAAGTGGTAGCCAGAATACACCAGGCATAATAAAGTCCCCACATATAATTTTAGCCATGTGAGGTAGTAAAGTAGCGTAAGCGAATGTGCTAGCAAGCTCCATATCGCCTTCAACAGATTAGCATGGGGGTGATAGATGCAACCTATAACATAGGGACTGGAGTGAGACAGCCTTAGAATAGCCCAGACTGAGTCGTTATCTGTGATGAGTTCTTGGTAGAAGCACTGTGTGGCCTTAATATCAGACCTGATATGCATAGCACATCCTCCTCTGTCGTGTTTTCTGTCACCTACGAAAATGTGGTAGTTATCAATAGGAATATCTTTATCTCAAATCTAAGGAGAGTACCATGTTTCAGTAATCATTATGAGAGACGGGTCGCAAATTAAGGATAATGTCGTGAAGTCAAATATTTCGTTGAGTAAGGAGCGAGCACTCACGAGACAAAATGAGAGTGAGTTAGGGATGACAGTGAAATCACATATATCTTAAACAACGTTACCCTCGAGGTTTATGGCGTATGGAGTAGATTGTTTGATGGGTGCTAACTCAGATGGTGGCAACTTACTCGCAGTGTCGGAGTAGTGCACTACGCCAGTATCAGCACCGAGAGAGAGGCTATCGTTGGTTACTATGGGGGTGTGAAGTCACTGCAATGCATCGCCCTCCCTTCTGGAGATAAATGGCTTGACAGTATGTGTGCTATTTGCGTCAATATTGAGGCTGAGAAAATTTAGAACTCTTCCGGGAAGAAGATTGTACTGTCCTTCTATGGACTTCGTGAAATACTAGGTTTGGAAGCACAAAATGGTTGGTATGTAGATGTTTGTAGGCAGGCTCTTAGTAAATAACTGTTCCATCATAATAATGACCCTAATTATCCACGGATTATGATAGAAGGAATCTGTAATTTTTTATGCTCATTTTTTAACTCATGGTATATAGCAACTGAAGCGATAAAACCCAGTCAAACACACTGAAGGACACTTATCAGTCAGCACATAGGGAAAGCCCTACGAATCACAAAGAAGTTACAGCTCCTACATGGTTACTCACTTCATCTTTCCGAATTACTTTGTCTCTAACTGCCCCTGGGTGACCGTAGCTTTCTGTGTTTCGGATACTGTACATTAACTTCTTCAGGAATATCGGTTCGTTTTCCCGTCATCTAGAGATATGTCTAGAGTTTTCCATCGAGTGCTTTCCTTTTTCACTGGCGGGTTTAGACTTGACCTACTCTAAGATTCTGACGTCCTATGATGAATCATCACTTTGAATCTCCACAACAAGAAGATGCTGAACATATGTAGCTAATCTACGCGGAACAGGTTGAGGTTATTCACCAAGCATCTTATGACGGGATGTAATACTACTTTTCAGTGTCCAGATCTAACTACACTGAACTTAACGCTGTCCTTAGAAGACCTTCAGCAACAATCTGCAATAACCAACGCGCAAAACAGAACACAGTTTGGTGACTCGAGAATCCTTTATTCTTGCACCAATATGGAACCAACCATAAGGTTATTATACACAAAGTCTAAGAATAAATGCCATAACAATTAATCACAATAATACTTCTGATAGTATTTCTCCGTCTTCTGACGAACAGCGTTCAGTGGAATGATGACTGCAGTATCGGTGACTCCCGCGAAAATATGGAGTTGGTTTTGAGTAAACAACCATGAATTGATCGTTCGTTATTCAACTACATTAACTCTACCATTTTCCAACCCATTTTATTGCTAGTTTTTCCTTTTGGAGTTCCTATTACAGACCGCTATCACTTGCCTCTTATTTTGGTTCTGGATAGCTGAAATTACTCGCTGTGTTGATGTTAAATATCAGGAATAGTGGTCACCACAGAATACTTCAGGGGACGATGTTCGTCATGTAGATCACAGGCAATTTATTTATCTACAGCATGACTAACCTGACAACATTTTGAACACTTGGCAGGATGTTCTTCATGTTTAGATGTTTCATGATACTAGAGCTTTCGGTCCATAATTCCTAAAGTTCTGAGAATACCCTCAAAAACGCATCTCTGCCACTTCGCTGAAATATTGCCACTTAGTCGATACCAGGACAGCTTTCTTCGTAGTGTGTAGCTTTCCATACCACAAACTGAAATTTGATAGTTTTCAGTCTACATCTTTGGGGGGTTCTCCCTGACTATTGTTTAACTTCTCCAAAGGAGTGTTGTCTGGGTTGATGGGATTTCTCGTTTTCCGACATCCAGTGTTGGTGTCCGCGTCATGTGATCCGAATGCCGCACATTTTTAGCACTCTTCACCCTAACACTGATAAAAACCCTACTCTAACCTTAACCCTGAATCAGGATGAAACTTGAAATGAGGATTATGAAAAGCATCCACTTGCATTGCCAAACTATCTGGTTGGTTGCTTCAAGGTCCTTCGACCCTGATGTCTGTTCTCCACCGTTGCCCTAACAGTACATGGCAGTCAACTAAAAATTATAAAGGGACATTCTATGAGAAATGAAAGCTACCATATGGGTGGGTTTTACACGGTGTATGGGCGAGACAAAAGTATCATAGTCAAAATCAATGTCTGCCAAAAGTTGACCTTCAAGGACCAATCACATCATGGGAATCCTACTCCCTGTGCGTCCCTATACTTCTCGAGTGGAATATAGGGCTCCAAGATAAAGATTCGAAGTTTCAGTAGCATTATTTTATTTTTACAAGATGCGGATGTTGGCTCCACGCCCAAGCCTCTCTCTTTACTGGACTCACTACCAACTTAGCAAGGTATAAGAGTGAGTCATCCGGGGATAGAATCCCGGAACCTACGTGGTTGGCAAAAAGTCGTTCCAAATATAATAATGTCTGTCTTTTCGGATTTTCCCAGCGTAGATACAGTATTTTAATCATTGGGTAGTCCCTCTTCATACCTATACTGTTAGGTGGGGACGTTTGCTTGAAGATTGGGGTTTATGTTCCAGAGTTAGAGGTTAGAATTAAGGTGAAGATTAGGATCAGGCGTCAGTATTATGGTTAGATTTAAGAGTAAGTCAAAGAACAGCGTCAGAAATATCAGCAGATAATAATAGTTTAATAATCTGAAAGCACGATGACCTACAGTCACCTGGAAAAATGAATCTATCAGGCATGGTATGATTTCTGTATAATCATCTGTGTAATGACTGGAAGAAATACTTACAGCGCATAAGCGACTACTATATAGTATTACATCATATTTGCAGTTGTTTTTCTCGTGCATTTTTCAACGACCATGTGAATTTATTGCATCTGAATACTGATTGATTGTTCAGTGTCACTGTAGTTTTTGCCATGTTAGCTCATGTTTGCCAAATGAACTGAACTGGTGGTTAAAACTTTCGAAACAAATGAAATATCTGATTTTAACCCCAATGGAAACCTAAAAGATATAAAAGGCGGCATTAAAAATAATCTACATAGAAATAATTTGCGAATAAACGTAAAGCCAGTGTGAGGATGAACGGTTAGCAGGCAGCAATCCAATATGGCTGACCCAACTGGACGAAGACTAGCTTCAGGTGCCTTATCCATCCAACGACCCTGAGTGTGGGGGATAATTTCAGGAGAAACAGAGGTCGTTAGAATATGCTATTATACATCCACTTCTGGCGAAAGTGACCAACAGACTTTAGTGGTAGTTGATTAGCACAAGAAAGAGTCCTGAGAAATCATGTTGCTTGTGAGAATTCACCTGCTCGTGTGGAGCTAGGTATGTATGTACCCAGCTTTTGCTATCCAAACGTATCATCGAACACTTATCCGCATCGTTTCATGGAGGAAAGAAAAGGTCCCTCCAAAACTGGGACATCCGATCGAATCGAGACACCATCAAACCCAAAAAGTAACTTCAGAGTCATCTACAGGACACATAGGAATCTTGCTAAAAGAGTACGAATTAAACTTCTTCAAACAGTAGAAGTAATGGCGATTCACATAATAAAACCTGGAATTTGCATACTAAAGTTTTCCAGTCATTAAATCTACAGTGCATCTGACCCATCTTTTTCCTAGCATGTTTACTGCTTAATTGTATAACATTTTCTTCCCCTTACTACCGCTGTTGTCATGACTTAGGCTCAATTTTAATTTTAGCTGAGATCTACTCAACCCCGTCAACTAGATAACTTCATCCATATCGCTTTTTTAATCTTATTTTAGTTTCTAACCCATTGGCGCTTTCCACATTACGTAATTTGTTATCTAGAATTTACAATTCCATTGACATTTGGAAATATTCATTTTGTTGCCAAAATATGCGATTGTACAGCCTGAAAATGATATCATCGAAAGGAGTATCTCTTCACTGAAAGGCGTTTCTTTTAAAGGATTCAATGAGAAATTTAACTTCCTTGTGCGGATTGTATGATGAAAGCCATGGCGCGCCTCTATTAATCGTACGTCATACAAGTCCTACGAAGTTGTGAGTTGCGTGAATTGTAACTGTTATTAAACTTGTGTGTGCATTGGTAAATTATTTTTGAACGATACTTAACGGATACAGTGAAGTTAGAATTCAAGCACCAGTTAGTACCAACAGATAAACGACTGAACGCACGAACCACATAGAAAAAGCCATTTTGCAATATTATGTATGAAAGTTTTTACGAAAATATTGAATCAAAAGCGTGAAACTGTTACACACTCACCGCACTCTTTCCTTAATCCTCAAAACTAACCATAATAAAGTTTGAACCCTAATACCTCAAGTATTAGGTTATCCTAACCCTAACATGCCTTCAGCCTTAAGCATGACTTAATCTTTCCCAAATTTGCAGGAAGCTTACCACATATATAACATCACTGAGCATATTTTATTTGTGGTTCCCCCAGATTGCTCACTAAGCACTACAAAGTTGATGGTGCAGTTGCGCTCCTATGGTACTTACTGGTGCCTACAGCCTAACTTGCCATGGAATTATTTCTACTGAAGCAGATGACATTGGACAACCAAGGTGTTCTTTTCTATGGGAAACGACCTGCGTAAGATCGAATATTTATTGTTTCCTTTAATTCCTAGAGGAACATAGGACTTCAGCCGCGCGTCTCCATTGCGTTCGGTTCTCTGCTAGAGTCTTTATCTGGTTCCAAATCTGTCCACACGTTTTCATCTCCTCTTCACATGACCTCCTCCAAGTCACCCTTGGACGACCAACTCGCCGCTTCCCTTTCGGGTTCCACTCGAGCAATGGCTTGCCTAGTTATGTCACTTGATGGTTTCCTAAGAGTATGGCCAATCCATCTCCATTTCTTCCTGCCCATTTGTTGCACAATCGGTTCCTGCTGTGTTGGTTCGCTCCCAAAGATCCCTTTTGCTGATCTTTTCTGGTCATCTGATCTTGAGTATTGAGCGAAGACAACTGTTAATGAAGATCTGTAGTTTGTTTGAGATGTTCTTTATGACGCGCCTAGTCTCTGATCCGTATAGTAGCACTGACTTCACATTGGAGTTGAAAATCCGGATCTTATTTTTGATGCTCAGTACTGGTGACCTCCACACAGACTTGAGAGTACTGAAAGCTTGTCTTGCTTTTCCGATTCTTGCTTTGATATCCTCGTCAGTTCTGCCTGTAGTTGAAACGATGCTTCTCAGGTAGGTAAAAGAGGTTGTTTCTTTCAGGTTCCTCCCATTTATGCTGATCGTTGTCTGTTGTTGTTGTTCTTGTCCAGGAATCTTCATCACCTCTGTTTTCTCTATCTTCACCTGAAGTCCTATCTTATCTAGATGCTTCTTCTGCCAACTTGTTGCTTTTCGCTTGCATATCTTCCAGTTTGTGGGAAATCAGACATATATCATCGGCGAAGTCCAGATCCTCCCAGTATTTTGTGGGAGTCCATTTTATTCCTGTTTCCTCATTGCCCGCTGTTTGTTGCATTATCCAGTCTACTGCAATCAGGAAAATCATTGGCGATAGTAGGCAGTCTTCCTTGTCTTACTCCTGTCCTCACTTCGAAGGATTCCGTAAGTTTCCCGTTGTGAATTACTTGGCATGCAGCATTGTCGTACAGCTGTTGGATGAGATGTACAATTGTCGGTGGCACCCCATAGTAGCGAAGTAGTTGCCAAAGCACCTCACGATCGACGCTGTCAAAGGCCTTTTCAAAGTCGATGAGGTTGAGATAAAGAAGTGACTGCCATTCCAAGCTTTGTTCAATGATGATCCGTAATGTGGCGATTTGATCAATAAATGACTTGTTTCTCCTGAATCCAGCCTGTTCTGGTCGAAGTTTTTCATCCAGGGCATGTTTAATTCTCTCCAGGATGATGCGGCTTAGTATTTTGCTTGGGATGGACAGGAGCATAATATCGCGCCAGTTCTTGCATTGACTTAAGTCTCCTTTCTTTGGTAGTTTGAATAAGTATCCTTTCTTCCAATCCTCGGTTACTTCGCCTTCTTTCCACACCTCCAGTAGTGGCGTCATCAAGTCCACTGTTGTCTCTGGGTCCATTTTCAATCCTTCTGCTGGGATTCCATCTGGTCCTGCTGCTTTTCCAGCTTTTAGCATCTTGATTGCCTCCAGGACTTCTGATTTCGTCGGGGGATTGGTGTTCACTGGTAGCTCTGTCTCCGTTGTTGGTATTGTTGGGCGCGTTGTAGGTGGTAGTCGATTTAGGAGTCTTTTGAAGTGTTCAGCCCAGTGTTTCCTTTGCTCCACTTCTTTGGTGAGGGACTTTCCATTGTCATCCTTCACCGGCTTAATTTGTGTCAAACTTTTGCCCGATAGGTACCTAGTTGTTTGGTAGAGTGTTGCGAGGTCTCCTTTGCCTGCAGCTTGTTCTGCTTCACTTGCCATGGCTTCATGATATTTTCTTTTGTCTTCCCTGGCACTCTTCTTTACTGTTTTGTTCAGTGTCTTGTAGTTTGCATTCAAATCCTGTTTTTGTTGCTTTTCGGTGCACTGGAGAATCTGTTTTACCATCCCTCTCTCTTCTCTCAGTCTCCAAGTGTCCGTATTGAGCCACTGTTTTTCGTGTCTCTTCTTTCTGCCTAGAACTTCCATGCAGGTTTGACTCCACACTGTTTTCAATTTGTTCCAGTGCTTTTCGACGCTGACCTCTTCGCTATTGTTGATTTGTCTCAGCTTTATCCTTTATGCTTGCAGTGAAGATGTCCTTTGTGTCCTGGTCCTTCAGTTTTTGAGTGTTGAACTTGGCTTGTGGTCTCTCTGCAGCTCCTGTTTCTCTGAAAGCTTTTAATTTGATTTGGATTGTCCCTTGTACGAGGTAGTGGTCTGAGCCAACGTCTGCTCCTCTTCTTACTTTCGTGTCCAGTAGGCTGCGCCTCCACTTCCTTGAGATTGAGATGAAGTCAATTTGGTTTTTGGTTCTCCCATCTGGTGACACCCATGTAGCCTTGTGGATGCCACCAATCACTAGTTAATTGAAGGCGCAGAAGTCGGCGAAGAGTTCTCCGTTTTCATTCATTTCTCCGAGAGCTCTACCCATGATGAGTTCCCTTCCTGTGTTGTCTGATTCCAGTTTGGCGTTCATGTCTCCCATTAGTATTTTAATGTCGCCGACTGGAGTATTGTCCATTGTTGCATGTAGTTGTCTGTAGAATTCTTCTTTCTTTTCGAGGTCTGCGTTGTTTGTGGGTGCATAGCATTGTATAACTGACATTTTCCTTCCTTTGGAGTTGAGTCTGGCGGTCATTATCCTGGGCGAGATCGCCTCCCATTGCATCAGGGCCTTCGTTGCCGTTGGTGACATCATGATAGCCACACCGTCGGTGGGCATGTGGTTATCCTCTGGGTGACCGGAGTAGATCACTGACTCACCCGTTGACAATTTGGTGAGTCCACTCCCGTTCCATCGGTTTTCACATATCCCCAGTACTTGAATTCTGTATCTTTTTATTTCGTTTGCGATCTGGGCAGCTTTGCCAATCTTGTGCATGGTGCGGACATTCCATGTCCTCACACAGACTTTTTCTTTTGGTGCAAGGAGATTCATCGTTCTGAAGTTTCTGTAGCAGCTTTGTTTACAGGGTGGGGTTGCTAGCCTCACGCCTGAGAAGGGGAGAGAGAGGTTAGTGTTGCGTGACCACAGAGCCCAGGGGACAACTGCTTGAGGCCGGTCACACGCGGCCTGTTTTTGTTTGTTCTTCCTTGTTCGGTGTGTCTCAGTAGCATATTTATCACTTCTACCCTGTGACACAGCAGCAGGAAGCGCGGTCGTTGTTAATCCGGACCCCGACCGATCCGGCATGATATTTTGTGAGTTTGTTTGAATCATAATATTGGATTGGGTAGCTGCTTTTTGTCTAACCGCTATCCAAACATGGCATGGTAGGACCTACAGGAACATAAGTTCCAGCCAATGTAGCTCGTTGGGTCATTGCGATATGCAAGCCCGACCACCACGTCAAGGTAGCAGCTATCGGTCGGATGGTAATCTCATATATAATCTCATATCATTGGGGTTCTTAGCGTTACTCCAAGCCACATTTTGTACATGAAACCACCTAAATGACTGGATGTCACGTCACTTCGTGATTTATTTATCGCTGAAATACCGTTCTTCAAGTACTTTGCAATAGCTTTGTGGAATTAGTGTGCGTCTCAACCAACATCTATAATATCAGAATAACGATTTTTCTTGTTTTTCTGTGGAACCAATCGAGGTCTTTCGGTTGGTCGGCCACTTGGGTCGCTAAAATTTAGCGTTCTCCAAATGGAATCATGAAAAAACTGAATAGTTATCTGAGTGAATGGTCTACTCAAAGTCGGCGTTTGAGTAGGTAACACTGATGTTATACGCGATGAGTTAATTGAATTATGTGTGCTCATACATTTTGTGTTCTTATTTTAAATGTTCGTGTTGTGTTAATGCCGATGTTTTTTCGTGCTAATGTTCTTGTATGTAAATATTTTGAACGATGAAAATCCGACTTAGAAAACCAAGCATCGTCGGTGGCATAGTGGTTAGGACTCTCGCCGACCATGCACATGGTCCGGGGTCCGATCCCATGCCGACGCACACCCGATATCTATGGCCGGCCTGCAAAATTTGGGCTACCGATATCCATGCTGAAAATTCCATACTTGTACTGAAATACAGTGTGGCATCAAGCTGTAATCAAAAATAATAAAAAAAATAATAAAAATTGTGAAAACAAGAGGATAGTTTAGGGTTTGAAGAGGAATGCTGCTCAAATGCTCACTCGAGTAAACGTGAGTTTGAGGAGCTACCCTGTTAGTCTTCTTAAGGTCGTGTAGCAACCAGTCCAAGTGCAGAGACGTAGAAGCTCGTAAATTTGTCAGCAAATTGTTTATTAGAATTTGTACTACTCAATTCACACGGGGTAATTCTCCTCGATGTACTGAAAGAAGTTTCGCATTGTTTTGGTGTGTCTATGGAAAAACCACAATGATTCATCTATCTGGTCGTTCATGAGTGCATTTTGGAGGAGAATTATTTTC